CCCCCCCCCCCCCCCCCCCCCCCCCCCCCCCCCCCCCCCCCCAACCCTTACCCCTGTCTCTGTGCCAGTTCTCAGAGTGTCAGTGAAAAGTGCTGTTGTCAGCTGACATTTCCAATCACTCCCTCGGTCGCCAAAACTATGGACACACTTTTAACGTCTGGGGACAGAGCAGAACGTGATCGGAATCTAAAGCGGAGCACAAGGACAATTTCTCTCTTGCTCGCTTGCTTTATACCCACATGTGTCGTTCTCTCTCACCCTTACTACTGACACACTACTCTGATCTGTCTATCTGTTCATCTATCTGTCTATCTGTATATCTATTTATCTATCTATCTATCCATCTATCCGTCTGTCCGTCCGTCCGTCTATCTGCTATTCTGTACTTCATGATGGAGGGGTTATATGAGGACAGACAAGCTTTTACCACTCAAAGCCACTCAAAGGAGAAATCACTGCGGGTGAATATAAAACATTGAATAACTTCACAATGTCTCGTTAATCTTCAACAGCTGAGTTAAAAAACAAAAACCAAAGCATGTATATGTGACACGAATGTGCTTGGTGTTTTGTTAGCAGGTGATTGAGGTGAAACCTGAATCCCAAAATGTAAAATGTCTCTACTATTTCAAAGACAGAATTCATCTTTAATTATTGCACTGTTTTATAAGTAAAACTATGTGGAAAAGAATACATTTAAGTGATGCAGCTTAAACCTTTTTTTTTTTTTTTTTAAATAGGAGCAGTTGGATTGTTGGTAGAAGTCCATTTTGAAGATAAATATCTTGTCGATTGAAACGCTGGTGCAAAGTGGGCAAATGACAAGATGGCAAACGATGATACAATTTCTGCAGACAGTGCAGAATAGCAAAACAATCTCACCTGAAGGTCTGTTCAGGTGCTGTAATAGAAATGGAGTTTGCCCGGTTGTCATGAAAATACATTTAAATTTTTCTTAGATCTTTAAAATAAAACAAAACAAACAATCAAAATTATTTTTTGGGGGGGAGCAGGAAACATGATTTATTTTTCAGATTTAGTTTTTTTTAATGACATTAAATAAAGAGGACCTGCACACCTTGTTCTTGGAATTACGTATATGTGGTCTCCCAACTCCATGCACCAGTAAACAAGATAAAAGTGATATTTGCCACACCTTAGCTGGTGCAACAAAACTAACTGAGAGTGAGGCACATGCCATTAAAACATAGTCTGCACATGCCCACACAGTCCCGAGAAGAGCTCTAATCACCTGTGTGGAGAACCACAGGTGTGCAGGGCTTTAAACAGTAGACATTTATGTCATACACATCACATGTCACATTCCCCATTTGAACAATTATCGAACATCCTCTCTGCGATGGCCGGCTTTTCACCCCGCTCTCAAGTGTGTCCGTTTGGAGCGGATCGTATACAAAGTAGTTATTTTCCAGCATAACTCGACCCTTAGGTTCAACAGTCATGATCCTTTGCCAACACGAGGCAATTCCACTGTAATACCATAAATAAAAAGATCCTATATTTGGACCCAAATTGAGAAGGTATTGAGCTCTCTTGAGACTTATGGCTCATCTCAACTCAATTTACCCTCCATTGTGTTTGAAATAGAGCAATACCCAGCTATTCGGTCGGACATAAATCTTGATGGCAAAAGTTCACACTCTACCCCATAGTACTATCAGATGAAAAAATTAAATAAACTAATGTTATTCTTTTGTTTGTACTTGTGATTGTTTACCTTACCACATGTGTGGTCCTAGAGTTGTTTACCTACTGTATTACCCTACTAGTGTAATACCAACTCCTGAATGCACCACCTAACCAGAGTGCCTCACGGCTACGGATTTCATGGAAATCCCTTTTGGCAGATAAACAATGTTTCAGTGACAGCGAGCTATCTTCTGAATTCACAGCACTTTGCCTTTTCATCACGGAAACACTCCCAACACGACATTTCTTTATAGCACCTGAACATGCTAAACTATGGGAAATGAATTCGAAGACTTCTGAAGCACTGCGCTCTCTCGGTCCCTCCCTCTGTGTTTGTCTGAGTCGAACTGGCAGAGTGGGGAAAAAAGGAGGGAAGTGCAAGAGACAAGACAGCTGCATTGGATCCCCAATTAGGAAATACCACACACAGAGACCAACCTGCGTGGACGATCATGCATGCGCGTACACAAACACACACACACACACACACTCAAACACATACACAACCTTTAGAGAGAACATGCACAATGTACAGACACACCGAACGTCCACATATACATAATGTATATATATATGTATACATATATTTACACTCACATACATCCTGGAGAGATAGTGCAAGTGCATGTGTTTGTGTGTGTGGGTGGCAACTGTGGTTCAGTAGACATCAAGCGGTGAGCATCCATAGGCTGATGGTGCTCCACAAGGAAATGAAAACACAGATCTGACGCTGTGGGGGCCCTCAGAGGACCGTCATTAACACTTCACACACACATGAACACACAGCCAGGGTGCACCCAGAGACTGCCAACATTTGGTGCACTGAGTTTTGCATTGACATTCCCCCTCGAATCTTGACAGTCTGGTAAATACTGTCAATTTCAGCTGTCTTGCTGTTTTTTGTTTGTTGCATTTCTTGTTAAAAAAGATTCTGAGGAGTTTCCTTGTCCTAAAAGTTATTTTCTAGCTTAGTACCGTTTTTTGGGACTTTGTAGCATTTCTATAGAGCCAAAGAAAATAGAAAGTGTTTGGCTATCCAGCTACTTTATGATATAAAAGCAGCTTCTTGACAAAATGTAGATACTTCACCAGGTTTATCTATGAATGTGAAGGATTTCACTCCACAGGAAAAGTGTAAGATGAACTTTTTATTCTCTCAGCAGTTACATGATCACATATTAACTAATGACTTTTTTCTCTCTATAATTTACGACCCATGTTCTTGAGGTATACGCTCTGTTGAGCACACAGGGAATCAGAGTGGTGTCATCTGAATATGACTGACAACAACAATCGTCATGGGAATCAACTGAGCAGACAGGAAATACACTTTCGGTTCCATGTCATCTTGATGTACTTGACCAGCCTCCTTATATTTATAAATCAGGGAAGAAAGAAGTTCGGTTACAGAACTGCAGATTAAGCTGTGGGAAAGTGCTCCACTGTTTCTTCACACTTATCTCCCATTATGGACTCTTTACTCATGATTTACATCTAATGGAAACAGATGCCGTACCCAGATCCCTTTCAGAACTGATTCACTTACTGTTTCTTTGGCCCAGTGGAGAGTATTGGAATAAGGAAGTGCTAACCCGAACGACCTGGCTCCTTGTTATGTTGTAGGTATTTGAATAGCATTCATGAGTGTCTCATGTGTGCCGTCGGTTCAAGTGCGGGTCAAAGTTATTTCAACTAGCTCAGGCTTCTGCTGGAATCAATGAGAAGGTTCCAGTTGGGACTTTAAGACAGAACGGTACATTCTGCACTTTTCCTCTCCTCTTATTCCATGCTCTCCTTTTCCCTCCTTACTTCGTCATCTGATCTATTATCAATACTTTCTTCCATTCCATCACCTCATAGCAGACTGCTGTAGCTGTTTGGATGAAATGGAATTTCACCACTGAATCAAGTCCAGAAGGAGACACCATTTTGGATGGCGCAGTGTTGTTGTAATTTGACATTTCCCCAAGGCCATGGTGTCATTCCTCTCTCCTCCTATTATTCTTTTTTTTCAGTCCGGCTAGATTGTGTAGCGAGAGAATGAACAGGTGGATTCATACTTGTACCTCACACACACACACACACACACACACACACACACACACACACACACACACACACACACACACACACACACACACACAGCAACGCATTGAATATCCGCTGTATTTGTTTTCCACTTTGTGACAACCGGGAACATATTTTCTCAAGATTCATAATGTGTCAGGCTAGGTACCTCTCTCTTTGTCTTTCTCACTCTCTTTCTCTGTCACCGACACACATACATACACACACACACACACACAGAGACACACAAATAGGAAGATGCTGGAAATGTTTCACTTTTCTGCCGGGAAAAACAAGCTGCCACAACACCCATGGTGCATGAGATCTTTGTCATGCAGTCATACTAACTCACCAGGCACATTCACTCACACATGCACTGTAGGTGTTTACACTCATGCACTGACACACACACACATATACACACACAGTTTGAATCACACTGAGGCAGAAGTCAACAAAGAGTTGGGTATTGCCAGATGGTGTGTGTAATGTGTGTGATTACCGCTTTGGTGTTTTTGATCTGTGGCGTTGCCTTGCATGTGCGTCCGCATGTGTGTTTGTCTTTGCGTGGGCGATTAGTTCTGCCTTGTTTTTTCAGAGTGTTTTTCACGTCTGCAACAGTTGGATTGCTCCCCAAACCACAGGCCAAAGAACTTGTTTACCACAAGCCCTGACTTTGAAAAAAAAAAAAAAAAAAATCGAACATTAGATTTGATTTAAGCCTGTCACAAATGGTTTAATTTATATAATTAAGATGTAAAACATCTCAATTTGCAGAAAAAAGTGTGAAAATTGAGCATTGTCTGAAAAGAGCAGTGACTTTTCTCTACCAATTTCAAGATCATAAGCTGCTGAGCTGTCGTGTTATGTGTGATAGCAGCCTTTTAAAGCCTTTTGTCTGACTTTACTCCTAAAGTCTCCTGTCCCAATAGAGTACGATGTGAAGCTGCCAGGCGAGCTAGTCTCTGTTCTCTTCTTCTCACTGACAGAAGCAGTTGGCTGACAGAGACTCTCCTGATGCTGACAACTAAATGATCTCTTCTTTATTAAACACCTCTTACTATCTCTCTATCGCTCCCTGACTACCTTGCGTCCTCCTCGCCTTCAGTGTCTCGTTTTATCTTTTGACTGACTGCTCTCCCTCTCCTCATCTATTTCTCATTCTTCCGAGTCTCTCTCTCTCCCCCTTCCTTCTCTTTGTTCACCCTCTCTGCTCATAACCTCCCACACTGTATCTTCTCCTGATTGCTCTATCTTTCCTGTCTCCCTCCTAGTTGTCTCCCTCTTTTTCTCTTAAAGGAAAGAGGGACTCTGCTTCCGTCCCTCACCTGTGGCCATTAGCCAGTCAGCCAGCTTGTCAGTCTGTCAATCTCTTTGATAGTCACTCAGCCAGCCAGTCAGTCATTGTACAGCAGTGTTAAAACATTCATTAAAAAGTCTCCTCCACATCGCTAGTCAGTGATCCAGGCTGATCTCAGCGATCCAAGAATTCTTGTCTCAGTCTTTTTTTGCGCCCTCCTCTCTGTCTCTCCTCATTGCTTCTCAGCCTCTTTCTCAGTTTTCTGTCTTCGCACCCCTCTCTTTCCAGGAGGACCGAAAGACCGGGCCGATAAGAAACATTATTAACTTCTCTGTGTGAGAACAGTGAGCTGGAGAATAGAAGTGGAATGGATGGGGAAATAAGGGAAGAAGACAAAGAGAGAGGCAGAGGTGTCAAACGTAAGAAAGAGACAGACTTTTAAAGTTGGCAGAGAGAACGGAGGCATGGAGGTTGTCTGTCTCTCTTATAGGCCCTCCAAGCAGGATTTGGTGCCATACAGATGTCAAGTGATTACAGTATGATCATGTATGAGACGATACTGTCTGTGTTGGGTGAGATTTGGAACAGATAAGGACAGAATGAATAGATAGAAGCATAGAAAGAAAATTGTCTTGCGGACACCCCGAAAAACTGTGTTATGGTCTTAAATTCAAACTTTGTAAAAACATCTTTGCAGTTGCACCTAAAAAATATCGTCTCAGATGAAGTAACATTTCTTGAATTTAGACACTTCTTTGTTCTACTTAGGCACAGTCATGCTTTGAGCTAAATGCTAATGCTAGCATGGCAATATGCTCACTATGACATTGCTAACATGCTGCTGTTTAGCAAGAATAATGGTTACCAAATTCACATCTCAGTTTAGCATGTTAGTATGCTAACATTTGCCCTAAACAAAGCTGACACTGATGTGAATGTCAGAAAACAATTAGGCCAAAAATCAAAGTGATGGAAATATATAAATGTTAACGTAGTGACGGTGCTAGATGGGGAACTTGAATGTCTGTACCAAAGTTCATGGCAATCCATCCAATAGTTTTTAAAATCCACAAATTTGAATTTGAACAACTCATGTGGGCGCTAGATTAAAATTCAGGGGATCTCCAAAGTCATAAAGTTTCATCCTCTGGGGACCAAGTATGTCTGTGATACATTTCAGTGCAATCACGGTTGTTGATATACTGTATATCTGGACCAAAGTGGACCTATAGAATGACAAACTGCCAATGCCACCCTAGAGCCAGGCAGCATGCATATGACTCAAAGAACAACCAATATTTCTCTGTTTAGAAGAGCAAAACTGATATAATGACTGATATTGAATAATGAATATTTCATCGTTGTTTTTACAGATATGGGAAGATTGTGTCAACAAAGGCCATCCTGGACAAGAACACCAACCAATGCAAAGGTGAGTGAGGATCCAATGACTTCATCCAGTTCATCCAGCCATCTGTAGCCTTGCAAAGGTTCCATATACTTCACAAACTCCGATTTAGATATGAGACTTGGGTCTGGAAAACATCAGTTGAGAATTGATTAAACTTGGCAGACCAATCACACTTTTGTTATATATTTCCCCAATTGATCAATGCCAAAAGCTTTTACAATGGGCTAAAATGTCTGTCAACAGTGTGACGTCAAATTAAAACAAATTACTTCAACTTCAGCTCTGTGTGCTGCTGCACATGGTCCATGTGTTTGCCTCAGAATTGTGTGGTAAGCTATGTGGTAAGGGTGCGTGTTGTCACGCTGTACACAACACAACAGTACTGACTGAGATAATGACCATGTCATCCTTTAATCTATCTGACAATGCACTGCTAGAACATCTTTCTGTTTAACTTTTCTATGATGATGATTTCAGGATTGCACCCCAATGATGCTCAAAGTTAAGCAGCTTTTGAAATCAAGATGTTTGATCGTTGATTGTTGTCATTGGCCGAATCCAAACTGCGAACACCACACAATAGCCACAATGCGTTTCAAATAGTCTCTGTGGTGAATGAGGCTCACTCGAGTGTCTTCTGATGAGGGTCTGCTTGATTGTTGGAGTGGTCTGAACAAAGCACTAATCAATGTGATTGTAGTCGTCTGCTTTTGAAGAGGCACAGAAGAGCATGTGTTCAGCATGATTGCTCCTCATCTGCTAGGGCTGCACTCGAAGGTATACTGACGTTTAGGACAACAGCACAAATGCCCTGTAATCAGCGCATCAGCTTCAACGGTATGAGTGAAGGAAAAGCTAGTCTGATTGATAGCAGTGGCAGGAATGTTAATGCAAAATGATGTCTTAAAATAATAATGGGAACACCAAACCTCATTGAATCTCCTCTGAAAACACTATTTTACTTTAGTTAGTATGTTGGCTCTTTTTAAATGACCAGGTATATAAATCTTACAAATTTCTTAATTCCAGTACCTGCTTTGACATCACATAATCAAATATTGCTTGGAGCTCTGAAAGCATATCGAAATGCCTGTCCTGACATCATTACAGCACAGCCGAAGGGAAGGCGGAAGATTCTATTAACCCAGTGATAATTATCAGTTATTCTTCCACCTTCTCAAATCATTACATTTTTTCATTGCTGTTTCTTGAAATGGAATTTAAGAAACCGGATTTAGTAGAGCATCAGTGCTCCAGCTCATGATTATTATGTTTGCCAATTATGGCTTCATGCTTCTCATTAGTATGATTTACAAATTGAAAATAATAGCTGCTTTATTTAAGAGCACATTGCATCTAAAAAGGCCATTTAATTGCAGTGCTTACAAATAAACCACAACTAATCTTAATATCTGCTTTGAAGTGATGATATTCTATATTTTTCTTTATCTTAACAAATCCCATAGAAAGACTATCCCTGTAGATTATTTTGAGTCACTCCCACATACAAGTAGCTCTGCTGCGATGAATACTCACTAGAGCACCAAATGTGTATCATTGCTCAGCTGAAAATAGTCCTCAACAAATACACTATTTACTCTTGTTTGAGTTACGTTGGCTAAAAACTGCAGTGCCCAGCTGTTTGAGGCAATTATTTAGCCTTTTTCAAAAATGATTTAAGTCTTCGTTAGGAATGAATACACGTGGAACTAAAAGCTACAGAAGTGGCTTTGTTGGTTTTTGGTCTGCTAATGGGATTGTGTTGGCAATAAGAAAAATGTGAAATAACACCAGCTTTCAACCTCTCAAATTTCATGATCTGCCGTTCGTCCGCATGTGCTGTCCAGAATTCATGACTGCATTGACTGTACACATTGAAAAAAGTGTGAATATGTACATGTATGCACTCACCCAATATAGTATTTACAGAACTGCCTGTGCATCTGCTATTCATGTTCATGTCTCTTAGATTTCTGTCTGAAATTAGATAAAAAGTCAATGAATGAAGTTTGATGCCCATTTTCATAATACAAATAGGGATATACGACTCAAACAGAACGTTTACAGCCTGGTTTTAACACATTAAATCACATTTTAAGCGCTAACGTGGGTATCAAACTTTTTTTTTTAAATTATAACCTGGGTGTATTTTGTGAAATCAATGAGCCTGTGTGTTTCTAAGTAACTTCTTGACACTGGAACTGGCACTATACTCTGTATTTACTCCAGAAAAGACCTTTATGAATACAAAACATTAGAGAGACAGTTTCAAAATGCAAACTGACACTTCCTCTCTGTAAATTTATGCTTTTTATTTAATGCACAGAACACTTAAAATGCAGCAGCTGCAGCAGCAATGTTTAGTCTGTGACCCTCATCAGTACTTTCACTGCTTGTGTTGTAGACTTCATACATCTCTCAGCCAGTTGTTAACTCACAATGAAGGAGTTTCATTATCAGGCGGCCATTAGAATGCCTTACAACCGGATAAGTGTTGGTTTGATTGCAGAGGCATTCAGTGGGGACAAGATAAGTGCTTAGCGTGACTAAGAGAGTACAAATTGGCAAAGAGAGTTCGCTTCGAAAAGAGAGGGATGGATGGGAGGAGGCACGGTGGGGGGTGGAGGGAGGGGGTGAAAATAACCTGGGGCTGACCGAAAAGGAAGAGGACCCCTTTAAACTGATGATTGAGCAGACAGCCTCCTCTTTTCAGGAAGATTCTGCAGAGGGGAAAGAGAGAGAGGTAGAGAGCGTGAGAGACAAAGAGTCAGGTAGGTAAATAAATAAAGTCGTCCTTCTTTGCCGTCTGCAGGGATTATGTTCGGTTTGTTCACAGCTGTTGTCATGTGACAGCCTTGTGATCCCAATTTCTATGACGGTCTTACTTCCTCTAAATTATTTTGTGGAGTTCCTCAAGCCCTGTTCAATGTCTTCAAGGCTTCTTTGCTTTTTTTAGTCCCTGAAAGGTTGATGTTTCCCTCTGGAACAATATGTAAATATATGAAATGGTGCATAGATACATTAAAATATGAGCTCTAAAAAAATTGTTTCATGGATTGTCATGTTACTGAACAAAGAAAGCAAAACTTTGGCTTTGTTCTCCGAAATAATATAACTACATTATTTGAAAAAGCCTCAGCTTGTAGCAGGTTCAATGTTAAATACACTGACAGTTTTCTAGTTAGCAGCGTGGGAGCTCTGGGAGAGGGAGAGGGCACAGAGCACAGGATGGAGGAAGGAAGGGAGAGGAAACCACTTTAGATTGTAAAGGATTTCCATTTCCCAAAGACAAGGGCCCTCCCTCTCACTGTCTCCGTGTCTCCTGCCCTTTCTCCGCCTCCCTCCCTCCTGTTTTTCATCTCATTCTTACTCTCTCTCAGCCTGCCACTCTCCCATTCCCCCCGACTCCCTGCCTCCCCCCATGCCTCCTTTGCTCCGTCGCTCACTCCTTTTTCCTCTGTACTCGGTTAGTCTAATGGCCCAAGGCCAGGAACTCTGGGAGCTCAGGAGATTAGATGGGTGTGTGTTTGTGTGTGTGCATGCGTGTGTGTATGCACGGATGTGAGTACCTATGTTTATCTGTGCATCCATCTGTGGCTATGAGTGTGTATTCATGTGGGAGCGTGCTTGGTAATAAAACTTTTTTTCATTCACGAGTGGAATATTTGTCAGGCCGGACTGAGCAAGATGAATTTTCATCTCTGTGTCATCGTAAGGCCACAGATGGGAGGGACATTTGAGAGAGAGGAATATATAATTCAGAGATATTATTTTCATTCTTCCGTTCTCTCTAGAAATATCCTTATCATTCCTAGAAGAGCTATCACTTACATCCACATGTGATGAGAGTTTTCACCCAACTAAAGAGGGTGGGTTGTAGTGTTTAAGTTATATGAAAATGTACAAATTACATGTTGGGCAGAAGTGCGGCGTAATGATCTCCATCAGCTTGGAAGACAGGCATCTGCTCACAGACTCAACGAGCTTCAACTCAAGTGTCCTTGAGCAAGACAATGAATCTCTACCAGCTCCTGGAGTGTGTTCGGTCGCTGGTACTTGACCTCTGACCTCCCTGGATGGAGAGGCAAATACATGTTCAGAAAACACAGCTCGCTCCTTGAGTGATGAATTGAGTCAAAGCAAATGGCACATTTCAAGGCTGATGTTCCATCATACCAAACCTGTCAATAAGATGAGCACTCAGAGAAAAAGGAATGTCTCTATTATTCATGTCTTTCGTGAAGGGTGTCTGGCGTTTTTCTACCAAAACAAACATTTTAAGATGTAAAAAATAATGAATGTGTGCAGGAAAAGGCTAGATTACACACCAGCATCTACAACAACTCAATATTTATTTATTTTTTTAGAAGCGATCATCATGTGCAAGGCAGCTGACACATAGACTTAATTTTCTGGTACTGTTTTACTAACTACGGCACAATTGGCTGATTAAGTGTTTTGCCTCTACAGAACCTCACAAGTTACCACCACTGATTCCATTGACTGTGTTCAACTTCAACAAACATACTGCATTGAAGCTGTCCAAATACTGTGTGCTCATATACAAATATCTTTAGTATGATACGGATACCACATGAGAAAAATACTATCCTGCCTCAAGCATCAGATATACTTTATGTAGTCTTTGTAAAATCCTAACTGCATCCTCTTTGGATCCAAATAATTGAAAACTGTCTATTAAGGCCACAAGTTACTGATGGTGAGTAAAAGGACATTTGTTTATGCAGACTGAATCATGGAGCTGCCTGCTGCTCTCATAACAAAAACACCCCATAATAATCCATAATGTGTTTCATGCTTAATTATTACAAAGGAGGAAATGGAGGTGATTAAATAAACTGATTAACAAATTAACAACTCTAAGTGAGACAATTACAATGTGTGACAGTGCTGTCCAGGAGCTTTATGCCTTGGTAAATATGATCTGTGTTGCATATATGCTCTCAGTAATGAACTAAAACTTTATTGACGTGAAGTGATATGTTTAGCTCTGGTTTGTGACATTAGTGACCTACATGGCTGGCACACGGAAAACTAATACAGCTCATTATTTTAAGTAGCCACATTTTTTTTTTCTTTAAAAGAGTACTCCATCAATTTGGCATTGCATTCCTATTTTACTGTGGGACTTAGGATGGACAGTTTCAGAAATAAAGCGTTGAAATAGATGCACCAGCTAACCTCAAGCAGGGCTAAGGAGCGGGCTACACAGGTCTGGTATAAGGTCACTTCTTTCTAGCTCCACAACCATTTTCAAACGTGTAGTCTTCCGCCCCAACCGACGCTGAAGTGACATCACTTGAGGCAGTTTATCAGATTTCGACGAGCTTTCATAGAGCCACAAAAGGCGTCACATATTTCTTTTTCCACATATGTAGTAGTACTCCTCAAGACCTGTAAACAGAATGTAATGTGTATAATTTATGGATTTCTCTTTAGAACACCAGCTTTATCAATACGGTCGCTCTAATTTAAAAGATGTGTGCGCTACTAATAATGCTAAACCACTGCATCAAACAAGAGGACTCTGTTTTTGACTAGCGGTGATTGAATTATCCATTGTGAACTGTGTTCGGGGTTTTATTCTCCCACTAATTACACAGATGGTAATTATGGTTAAACAAACAGCCATTAGTGCAGATATGAGTAATGAACTTTTCTTGAATGAAACAAAAGGATCTTCCCGAGCTACTGATGAATGCTGTATGTTTGTACATTCTCAATTAGTTCAACTGTATTGGTGTGGCCCTAATTAGATGAGTATAGATGAAAACTGTGTATGCAGTGTGCATGTGTATACACAACGTGCTTGCATATGTTTATGAATCTGTTTTCTTGAATGAAGAAATTCATCTGAACATTATACGTGCATGTGTGTGTTGGTGTTATCTTATTTTGGCTAAATTATGGATTTCTCATTAGCAACAGTATAAATATTTGTGCGTGCTCTACGCATCTTGCTGTGAAAGCAGCTTGATGCCTTTGAAGAGTAAAAAGTCATGTGCTTATCAGCAAAACACGAAGTGGCTCCAAATCAACAAGAGAAGATAGAAAGACAAGAACAGTTAGAAAGGAAGTGTGTGAGTTGAAGAGAGAGAGAGAGAGAGAGAGAGAGAGAGAGAGTGTATCCCTCATTCCTAACATGTTTACATTTCGGATTGTAATGAGTGAGGCTTTTGAAATGTGGATCATTTAATCGTGTTAACACGCAGCCTACTCACAACTACAGACGGAGTCTCAAAGCTGCTGTGCATTTGGCATTTTTCTTTCTGGCTTAATGCACGTGTGTCAATATGTCTTTTTTTTTTTATTCGCCTCTCATATAAACACACAATCAAAAACATTCTTATACTAGGAGTCTCTCGGGCTATCTCACCAATACCACACACCCTTCTAGGCAAACTGCCATTCACACGACAGGCAGTCTGCGTCTCTCTTTGCCTCTTTCTGTCTATTTGTCTATTTAACCCCATCTCTTTCCAGCCCCACCCATGTGGCCGTAAAACAGGGCGTATATCTAAAAGTATAGATTGATATGCATGTGTCAGACCTTTTTGTCCTTCAGGGCTTCCGGCCAAGCCGCAACCTAGATCCCCAGAAACCCTGGTGTGCAGATACCCTGCACACATACACACACACAAAATGATGCAGACCACATTGCAATAAAATCGACCGACGCTCATTCTCTTTGTGTCTTTATTTCTTTAAACAGGACGCTGAATCACTTTAATGGCTACATTAAATGCAGAGAATTTTCCTTGATGTCACTTGTATTGGCCACTTCTATGGGAACCCCATATGCACTGAGAGATTGATTGTAGTGCAGGGACGAAACAAGCTCGCATGCAATGCAGTGGGGTATTAAATGTCAGACAATTGGAAGCCAGTAGATTTTACATGTTACAGTTAAAAAGGCTCTCAGCATTGAGTCACGACTGTACACATGATATATATATATATATATATATATATATATATATATATATATATATATATATATATATATATATATATGTGTCGCCGTATGTGTCCATCTACAGGGAGTTTATGGTGAGCAGCCAACCGTGCAGCCAACAGTAGAGTCGACACAAAACATCATTTCATTAAAAAGAGCCGTAGTACACAAAACTTGGGCAGACATTAGAAGATTTTTTTGGATCATAAACAAGATAGCAAGAGTTACTGTTATGACACCAATTCTGTTGATGTTCTGTGCTGAAAACACGTTTAATGGGGGAACTAGCAGCTTTCATAAGATACGTGACCTGACTTGATTGTGACACATTTACAGGATTGATGCAGCATTGAAAACAAAGCGCAGACACTGGCTGGTTCTGCTCAGCGATGTTCAGAACAACCTTAACTGATGTTCTTTATTTATTTATCCTTTTGTTTCCCCTCAGTTTGCTCCTCCTCCTCCTCATCTTCTTCTGTGCTGTCTGTGTGTGTACGTGTATGTGCAGGCTATGGCTTTGTGGACTTTGACAGCCCTGCAGCAGCCCAGAAAGCTGTGGCCTCGCTCAAAGCCAGTGGAGTCCAGGCACAGATGGCAAAGGTAAGCTTCACCCCGCCTGTCACTCTCTGCTCCCCTTGTTGTTATTGAGGTGTTTGACTTTCGTGTGGTGTTGTACTCCAGGTCGACTTAATCACTGTCTGTATACCCTGGAGAAAGCCAATGGTGTCGAAGGTGAGGTTATTTGTGGTCACAATAATACTAGTGACATGTACCAACAGTACAGTGCGGTGGTGATAATCATAATAACGATCACTGGATTCACTGCCTATCAAAGTCTGAGATACATGTAGCTTTGGATAAGTTGTTGATGAGCTGAAAAAACTTTGATTTGTAACGCGTCACGCCAGTCGGCCGTCAGTTTTTAGCTTAATGTCACCGACTTCCATTGAAAATGACTTTTAGCCTGTTGCTTTGTCGCTTGTGGTGTGAACGCGTGTGTGTGTGAGCGTGTAGCTGGCAGTAGCAGCCTATGCAGCAAAGCTGTGCCAACACATGTGGGCCTTACCAGCACAATCCCATTATCCTTCAATGTGTGTGAGAAAAAAAGACACTGAATAGCTTGCCTTGCTTTCCGATTCATTAAAGCTGTATCGCTGCATACTTCCTTTTATAAATGAGAGAGGAGTGCAATTAAAATCGGCCAGTCTTCGGGCACCAACAGCATCCCATTGAATTAAACAGCAGCAAGCCTCTGAGCCACCTTTGCCTCGCTCTTCTATTAAACCTCTTTTCATTAGACTTCCATCTCTTATTTTGTTCCTAACGGCTTGAGGGGGCATTTGCATGAGCAGTGTTGATGTGTTTACCTGTTATTAAAGAGAGGAGAACCCTCGACTCCTTGGAGATTGAGTTTCCCTGAGGGATGGAATTGAGGGCAAAGAGTCAATTCCAAGTGACACTTCTTACTGTTTCATGAACTAATTATGCGCAGAGCTGCTGATGTCCCGGCTAACTTTCCTGAATCAGGTTGCTGGAGAAGGTCTCAAAAACACTGCTGTTGGATTTCCAGCTTGAGCCTCTAACATTTTGTAAGATGAGCAGCTTAATTGGGATTTGACAAAGTCTGGTTTCAACTCATTCAGTACCAATTAAACTGATCGAAGTGGAAACTCATGCCATGCCATTACCCACATCCTTCTCAGCGTAACGCTGAGGTTTTGTAGGTTAGCTGGGACAGAAACTTTTGTTCTTTGTTCTAATCTGCAAGATAGTTAAAAGCTTTTCCTCCACAAGACAGTAGTGGCAGTAGGTAGAGCGAAAAAGAGGATTAGGTTTTGTGAAAGAGAGATGAGACATCTAAGAAATGTGAATATTGATTGCTTTTTGGAGAGGGGAGGCTTGAAGAAAGGTGTGGAGATAGAGCTGGACTGTATCAAAGACCTGAACTCACATAGCTCACACTCACATAAAATGCCATCATATATATATATATATATATATATAGAGAGAGAGAGAGAGAGAGAGCTAGAGAGAGAAATACAAAGGTTAAACAATGTAGGAGCAACAGTTTTATTGCCTTGTAAAACTGTTTGTTTGAATGGTGTGAATGAGTTTTCTTTTAGTTAGGGATTTGATAGAATGCAATATTGTTAGGCACTAGTGAAAGTTGTTTTTACTTTTGTTCTTTTGTACAAAATAGAAAAAGACAAGACGCTGTTGAGGTGCACATGTTTTACGGGAGAGTCTGTATCCTTCATTTTATTGACAAAATAATGAACACATTTGTGCATAATAGCAGTTACAGCAGCAGAAGCAGTTTTATCCATGTTTTCAAGTAAACATCTGTTGGAAATCTGTGAAAGAGAATCAGTTGTCACATCCTTAATCTGAACATTGTAACTGAATCAAAGCTCTATCAGGTGGAAATAGTAGATTTACACGATCATTTATCCACATAGCAGAGTTAACACCATTTCATTTCACAGCGCTCAAAAAGGGGGCATTATTCTTTTGAGTCAGTGTTAAAAGGTGTTGGAGCGGAAAGCATGTTTACACATTAACATCATTAATTAAGTTCAAATTCATTCGAAAACACAAGTTACATAAGTGAATGATTTAGAATAATCAAATCTACCATACAAGAATATTTAACCAAGTGAAGGGTGTCAAGAGAGGACCAGAGGCGTGATGAGTAAAACCAGGGGGTTATCATTTGGGCTTCAAAGGAGGAGAACATTCCAATAATCACCAACGAACAGTGAACCCTGGGCCCAGACGTGTAGTTGCAGGGTCACTGCTTCACGCACACATCCTTGATCCTTGGAGTGCAGACTAAACTGAGGCCTGGCACTGTTCAATGATTAGAGCATACGTCTTGTTCTCTGCCCAATTTAAGTTAAAATCATACAAGCCTAAATTATTTGACTAGAAGAGCTCATTAAGCATGAAGATTTTACTTTAAGTGAACACTGATGGGAGGCAACTGCCCGCCGTGCCAGAATGAGTTTTGAAGTGCATGTGTGTGTGTGTGTGTGTGTGTTACAAGTTTGTGCCCTTGTAACAATTTAATTATAAACACATCGGTTGTATAGATATAAAATCCACAAAGCATGGCCCCATCGTGGGGCGCCAGCGGCAAGCTCTGTTCAGCTTTTGCAGAACCGGAGGATTCCTTCCACAAAGTCTGGGGGACGGTGGAACAACCAGAGTTCTTGAGTATCGGATGGAAAGTCATTTGAAGACAACATGCAGGGCTACAAAGTAGTGTACCCAGGGATACCACCTAGTCTGCATCATGTGGCCAAAGCCAAACAGGCATTTTCCTGATGTGTTGCTCATCATGTGAGGGATGTGGGGGGTGCAGTACCTTAAAAATTGCTTGGATTACCAATAGGAGAGTGCGAAGCAGCAGTATATTTCACAGGTCTGAAAATCCAACTGCCAACCTCAAAGTTAACCATGATTAGAGTACCTTCCTGACATTACCCATGAATTAATTATAGCACAGATGAAGCAAGATTAGACTGTCTGGTGTACAGTATATATAATTGTGAAACCTTTATCCATTAAACCCTGCAGATCCCACTGACGTCTTCTTTGTGACAGTTGTATGGTTTGGGTGTGAAATAAACAAGATGAGGAAAATACAGCAACCCGAGATGTGAAGAGAGATGAAACAGTGTGTGCGTGTGTCACTTCCTCAGCCTTCTTGGTAATTACTGTTGACCTGAAAGATGATTACTGCTACAGCTGTACACTCCCCCTCTCTCTTGCCTGCTCACGCACAGCTAGTTTTTTCGTCTCCCTGCCTCATTCTCACTTTCCCTGCTTGGAACTGTATCTTTACGGTGAAACCTCTTTTAACTAAGAAGCTAAATGTCAAAATGTTAGTTAAATGTTCTCATATTCCAAGGTTACATTCAGACTGCAGGGATATCCGATTTGTTTCTCCAATCAGATCATTAAGACAACCTGTCCACAATCTTATTTGCAAGTGACAAGATGGGATTAGTGTGTCCAGACTTCACTCTGCATTGGTTTGCTGTGGTAATGTTAAAGGCGTCAGTAACTACGTAGCAACACTGGTGACGCAGCTTTTAACTCGAAAGCATGAGAAATGGAAGTCCATCATTTCGCCATCCAAACAGTCGCGCTGACAAGTCGCCATACGATTGGAGACGCAATTCAAACAACCTCTAGATGTGGTTTGGATCCATTTCACAAACAAAAAAAACGCAGATCATGTTTTTTATTTTGCTGTCCAGACTTTCTAAAATCAATATGGATACAATTTGAATATGACAAAAATGGAATTGAGCTGGCAGTCTGACCAAGATCTTAAACTTCCTCAATTACTTAGAACACATATGTCATGAGTGTGTGTCTGTTTTTTTATTTTTTTATATTACTTTCTATTCCATTTTTAATGCTTTTCCTTGTGTCCATGAATCCTGCTTTGATATAAAGAAATTACATGCTGGACTTGACGGAAAACAACTACTGGTCTGTTTTAGCGCCTGTGCGTGTGAAATATTTATGAAATCTTGTCATCACAAAAGACTGGTCCTACCAGCTAACAGCATGTAGCATTATTAAATGATTGTGTATTAAAATTCATATCAGGCGCTACTTTTACCATGCAAACAAAACAAATAAAACACACTCGGCTACGGATATGAGCACTGTGTGTGTGTGTGTGTGTGTGTGTGTGTGTGTGTGTGTGTGTACAATAACAGTTACAGAGGACCAAGGTCACTATGCTAATTAGAGAGATGGTACCACTGGCAGTGACACTTCACACCTCCCTCCCTTCTCTCCCTTTTTTTCTTCTCCCCTCCACTTCGTCCTTGGCACCTCCCACCTGTCTTTCCCCCTCTCTATTTCTTTCCCTCTTTTTTGGCCTAGTTTGTTCTCTTCATTTGACCCCCCCCCACACACACCTCCCCTCGCCTCTTTTTTTTTTTGGTCCCACCCCCTCCTCTTGTGTTTGTCTGCAGCAGGTGCTGCAATGCCTCCTCCAGAGTCATTAGTTACAGGGTTGAGTGAGGACAGATAGTGGATAGAGAGAGAAAGAGGAGGGGGGTCTGTGTGGGTTGAGAGAGGAAGGCTCGGTGTGATGAGAAAGAGAGAGAGGACACACACACACACAAACACATGTAAAGTAAACTTTGTTGCATGCCTGTCATTTATCAGCTCTGATTAAACCCTTTGGTTCGTCCAGTTGTGTGCTTTCTTTCTTGCTCGCTGTCTTTCCTCTGTCTTGCGTGCGTGTCTGATAAAACCCAGATGCCTGATGTTCTCTTGAAATGGTTTACTGATGTATTCAGTGTGTGTGTACTAGCTTGCATCTGCCTGTATATGCCTGTATATTCTGTGTGTGTGTGTGTGTGTGTATTTGTCTGACAGCTGAGGTTAGTGATGGGACGAGGAAGACAACAGAGCCGACTGACATGTGAAAAGATGAGAGGAGACAAAACACATAGACAGGACGACGTGGGCATCTCTTTCTTTCTCACCTTTCTGCTTGTTTGTCACTCTCTTGTCTCCTTCTTTCTTCAAACTGTGCACCTTCTATTTTTTTTTTTTACTTTCCTTCATCT